AGTCCTCAAAAACTCTATTTTTTTAAATCGGCTGCCATGTACGTTATGGGTGTCTGCATGACACAGGGGATATAAGCACATACACCTGCCCCCGAAAGTAATTTATGCATGCATTATATATACTGATTACTATCAGTAAATACGCTGATTCAATGTGACTTCAAGTTGAAAAGCTTCCAGCCAAAACGCTTTGTGATTAACTCTCAAAGCAAGCATGATGAAAAGTCCAAATCTTCACTGCTTTAGTTTGGCAAACTACACCGTCTGTAAACATTTTTAAGTTTTCTCAAATATGTCCTGGCTAGTTTCTTGGGCGTCGGTCCTTTTTGGAAGGCAAAGATGTTTCCTAAGAATTGGTAAACATATTTTCTAAATTGTAATTTGTTGGGGGAAATAATAGTTCTCCACTGCAACTCCTCTCAGGAACATGGCTATTGTTTTCGCCAAGCTTCTTGTTGTATACGCAGCATGCTTTAAATTAAAACGTCAGTTCATTCATACAAAATACCCGTTATTCTCAACAGGCGGAACTTTACCTGCTGAGAGAGCCAATGGGAAACCGACTTAAGCTATTAAACAAGAAAAAAATTTCGCGTGATCCAGTGGAAGATAACAATCTAAAACACGTGAGAGAAACAAGGAAGGGTCAGCGGATGGTGAGAACATCTCTGGGCTATCTAGAAGTGAATGGGAATGTCATTATTAACGGTTGTGTGCGTGAGTTGGACGATTTGGAAAATTTGAAACTCGAAATTTCAGAACCTCCGCCGGATTTGAAAGGGATAGGTGTGGATATACGAGGTCCAGGCGGTGAACTGCTCAGTCCAGTGAAGAAGGAAAGAGGTAACTACTGTATAGAAATCAAGGACACTCAGTTACACGACACAGGATTCGGCTGCCACGATATCGAATTTAACGATTACAGGAATAACTTAACACGAGAGTTGGCATGCGTCACGCGACCTTGGTTAGCTGGTCTTAATGATTTCCCAACACTATCATGTATTCTAACTTTAAAGCCCCGTTTATACTACGCTCAATTTTTGGTACGGTACCAAAAATCGAGCGTAGTGTAAACGGGGCTTAATTTTGCTAGGTTTTTGAAACGAAAAAAGTGGTACGGATATCAATTTTATCCGTGCCGTACCAAAAATCGAGCGTAGTGTAAACGGGGCTTAAGTCAATTTATATGAAGAAATATATATGGTATCTAAACAATAGATTTCTTTTTAAAACACTTTAATCGTTACAACCTAGAATTTCGAAAACACTTTTCAAAGCTTTGTACGAGCCTAATATTTACGTCCAAACAATCTAATTATACTTCAACTAAGTAATCATGATTAGTAATCAAACGGTTTAATTATAGATAAGTAATCAAACGGTCTAAGGGAGAAGTTATTATTAATGCCGGGTAGGGGGCCGGAGGAAATTTTTATGAATAGCAAAAATTTTTCATGACCCCCCCTTATATTTCTAACAAAATTGTTTTATTCCTCCCCTTATTGAGGCAACATATTTGATAGCCCCCCCCCCCCTTTCCCCCAATTCTGAATTCAATTACTCTAAGTCGGTTTACTTGCAGGCTGTAAAGAATATTGTAAATATTTGAAGATGATAGCCAAGGTGGGGACAGGAGTGACTTTAGTTTCACAATAGACACACTAGACAATTGAGACTTTATACCTGAAAAGTTTTCGGCCCTCAAACAAAAAACCCACACATCAGGCTTACTTTTACTAATTGAAAAAATACATTTGTGTCTGGTGGAAGCATTATATTGAAGAGATGGCAGAAGAGACTGTCAACAACATGCAGAAACAGAACATGCCAAAGAGGTCCACTGTTAAAAAGCGTAAAACAGGACAACAACTGTCAATTGAATCTTGCATTTGCAAATGACTGCCATGACCCTTTAGACAAATTCTACGGTGATGATGAGGATGACAATTTCCATATACAGCCGGCTAGAACACAACTTTTAGGTTCAATATATTGGGCATTACTGTTCAATGTATGTATACTGTATATATTCATTACTCGTTTGATATTACATGTTACAAACTATTCCATAGATTGAATTTTTTG